GTTTGAGTACCCATAGAAAATCTCCTCTCTCCTACCCTTGGTTTTCGGTAGATCTTAAATTCTGACGGGCGACTGAGGTCCGGCTTTTTTCGATGCGTCGGTTTTGGCTGGGTACGGTTCAGATTTTCCGAAGTCACGGCAACGATGCTCGATTATCCTGACTGCTTTCGATGCTAGCACCCAGTATAGGAGAGCCGGGTCGCAAATACCACCAAGATAGCTAACGACGACAAATATAAATTTTTTCTGATATCGCACTCCACATCTAGCACTAATTCGCAGTTCAAGGCTTTTTCAATGGTTGCCTCAAATTCCACATGAGATGGTTGTCAAGGGAGCACAATGAACAAACTTTTATTCCGCCTGCAGAGGAAAGGCTAGGATTTCGATCTGATTTGGCTAAGACTCCCCACCTTCTTTATACTTTCGAGTCTCCTTTACCGTACCCCTCCATTATGATATGCACGTTCCTCATAATCGTTGCAACTCTAAATGTTGTCATTTGGGACTTTCTCCGCCGAATAGGGCCAACGATTGCAGATCGATTGCAAGAGGGTTCGCGAACTGTATCTGGTTATTCATCCTGAGTTCGATGGCTTAGTCGGAAACTGCAGCAGGCGTTATCCACTAGCGGAATATCATACTCTTTATATGGGAGTAACACAAGCTCTCCTTTTGCATTTTTTCTCAAAGATTTCTTATGCTGAGTCAGTAGTTGATTCTTGGCTCAGAGCAACACTTGATACAAGCGTATGCCAAACCAACAAACAGCAAAGTAGCTTTGTCTCTTCCGTGTCCTCTGGGTTCTTCCTGTTTATTTATTTATTGTTTCTCATTAGACTTAAATATCTCTTTCGTTGAGCCCGAGGCGTCAATTTCCAACTTGCAAATTCCACAAAAGGGAGAGAAGAAAAAAGAAACACAAACAGCGAAGAGACCGAAGATCCCACAGAAGAGGGCCACGTTATGAAATCCTCGTTTGAACCCAGCATCTAGGTGTAGGAATCAAGTGAAAAACACTACAATACAGAAGTATGGAATGTGGAGTGCTGGTAGACACGTTACATGATGATGCAAATGGAGAACGATCGGTTCCACCACAATTGCTACCAGAAGACGAACGACAACTTATTGTTTGGGTTGTTGATATGATGAATATTTACTGTGAGAGAACAGAGGAGGAGCTCCAAGAGGTGGTAAAGAGATCCTCGGTTACAAGAATGGAGTATCCCCCAATCGACACCCACAAATTTTAATCGGGCTGTCCGAGAATACAGGGGAGAAAAGATCCATGGCTCCCGTGGCAGGGGATCCAAATTCGTCGAGGCGATTTCTAAGTGCAAATGCAGGCCCCGGCGTGTTTGGGAGGGGAGGTCCATCGGCACTCCGCTCTTCTGTCTCTAGGGGTGAGATGTTTAAAGAACCCCAGTTGTCGGACCCGGAGAGCGTTCTCTAGGGTAACCACTTGGGCCAATTGAGCCTGCCAATCTTAGAGGTTACTTGAATATTAGGAAGGAGGGGGGGCGGAAGGGAATAGCTTGGATTCCAGAATGAACGAGCATCTATGAGCTTAGAGCTTCTTGTGCCTGGTAGCATCGTATCGTTTCGTATCGTTCCTGGTCGTCCTGCGACGAATGCACGCGATAAATCTTGCATGAATATTATCAGGCGACATGAATATCGCACGACACCTCATGCATGCATCAGCATGAAAGCTGCTTCGCAAACCAAAGCGATTGCCGACTCTGATTCCACACCTTGCCGTACTCGCCGACCGGGTCCCTTCCCCCCGGTGGAAATGAACTCCGAAGAAAGAGTGCGAAGGTGGAACCTTGCAGAAAGATTGCAAAAGTACTCCGCATGCAGCAGAGAATGTAGATATTCCCCAGCCCCAAGGTGTCGACAAGGACAAACGTCGCATGCATGAGATTCGTCCTGGCCTTCGTAAAGGTCACGCTCGTTCAGCGACGGACTCCGAAGGTTGCCTTCCTATTCATGACCCTCGTGAGGTATGACAGGTCTTAATGGGAATCTGTAAGATGGGATCCTATCTTTTCTCGAGAACAGGTGCGGAACGGTTTCGGTATGAATGTTTAAGCCACGTCCACATTGACCTTCTTTCTCCGCATTCCGTTACGACGATTCATTAGCAGAATGACGAAAATGTCATCTTCAACCGATATTCCGGATGAAACATCATTGACTCCTTAATAATTCAACAGAATAATAGGAACTACCAGAAAAAAAAAAATCCCGTACGACGAGAAAGCATGAATTAGTATGATCGCATTCACCCTATGACCTCACTCCAACCATGGCCTACATTACTACATCTGGCAAGCACGTCGGAACGTGTGGATGGAAGAGTGAGAGTGATCGACGAAAATAGTGGTGAGAAACGAGAACGTAAGGAAGCCGTCGCTCGTGCACCCACAAAGCTTCCACCTCGACGAGGGGATCCACGGTGCGTCGGTCCATTCCTCGATCTACGATATGAGAAGTGTGAGGGGCGATCAGGCCGAGAGAACGAATGTGGCTGATCAAAACTGGTTTGAAATCGAGTATCCCATCGCACTGCAGTATTTTGAGTGCCATTGCAGGACCATCACGGTCGGTGTTGTCGCGTCCCCGAACCGGCGGGTCTCTTTTGCCAGGGCGAAGTAGAGGAAAAGCAAGGGTGAAACGTGGAAATATGGAACAATCAATCATTCCAGGAACTTAACTTGAAAGTGTAACGAGTTACATTTCGCACCGAAGTTCTTGTCATTCTCTTTTTTTGCTGAAAATTATAACTCGACTCGCTACCCTTGCGTGGTGAGAAATCATTTGCTTTTCTGCACTAGTTATTTCTGTTCCCCGTCTCACCTGTATTAACCGTCGTTTTTGCGTATTGCCGAATGTGAAACAAGGGGGTCATTTCGAATATGCTAACATAACAACTTTAGCAGCTTATCCAGTTCTAATTAGTGTATGTTGACTGACTCGTGAAAAGTAAAGTGTTGCATGTAACTGTTCGTTTCCATCAGAGGACTCTAGTCAACTCTCGATTACCGCCACTGTTGGTCCCAGCCGATTTTGGCGCTATATCGAGGGTGGCGCTTAATCGAAACGCATGGCTTTAAAATGGAGAACATTTTTTCTCGGTTATATAAAATATTCACAAATTTTCACTTGAATTAATCCATGCTGCTAATGTTCCGTGCCTCGGAATACACTAACTACATAGCTTTGAAAAATGATGACCAATAATCCATTATTAAATCCTACCATTTCTATTTTTATCAAGTATAACTCGTATGTACCGTCTGCTCACATTATTGTCCCAAAACGCTGACAAATTCTTCGCAAGGTTTTCCTGACGTTCGACCGCATGCGCCTCCTTCTAACGACACACTTCCGATTTTTCCTTCACACTTGCAACCGTTCTTTTCCCCATCACTGGATGGTGAATAAACTTGAACTGTCGTCTGGAGAAACTGCGTATAATCTGAATGAGCCGTTTCCATTCTCCAAAAGAAGAGACATGATTAGGTCGGATTTGGCGAACCCTATACGCCCCTCTCTAATCACTGGAGGTCTATTCTAACACTAAGTCGTCCTCACAATCTTGCTATGTATCATGCGACCGAAAGGAGCAACTGGTAGCATTACATTTTGTACACGGTATAATGATTGAGGCTGGTAAAGCATGCTGCTTGGCGTAATATCGAGTAATACATACTGTAGAAAAGGATACGTCTGTGCAAGTGAAGGTGTTGGCGGATGGCGGCTGGCGAGGGTGGCGTTATAATGGGGGAACGCCTGTGGTAGGCCTATGGGGAAGATTCCTTCTCAGGAAAGAGTTGGCGATAAGCAAGAGTGGCAGTATATCGAGGATTGACTGTACTCTAATACTCTAGTACTCTGTGGCAATAACTAGATATTTTTACAATATCTTACTAATTAGTCGTCCATAACCGACTTGTTCCTTCCAGAATACAGGTGTTTGACCACGAAGAGCAAGGGAAGATTAGGGACGGCGAGGAAAACAGCGAGAATGACGAGAGCCGACGGAAATCCACATCCCACTGATACTGAAATTGCGTTTTCCGTGAAGCAGGGTTCTAAGCTGGAATCCGAAGATGATGGTACGTTCCATCTGAAATCTTATAGGTTTTCCAAGTCAAATATGGAAATAAGAAAGTCAAATGCGATAGTACGAGTATACAAGGAATCGCCTGGGCAATGCCTTCTCGTTGCATTTTCGCAACGTGCGGTTTCAGATGCATTTGTAAATAATCTCATTTTGTAGCCATCGAAACGTCAGGGTTAGTCCAAGGAATATTTTACTGTCAACTATTGGTGGTGGGAGGCCAGATTCCAAATTTAAAATAAGGGATTCGAAGGTTCAGGGACTCTCCTCAAAAAGTGCAAACATATTGGTTTTCCAAATTAAATGCAGAGGTGCGAAAGTTAAGTGCGGGATAGAAATTTAAATACTTTAGAACATGAGAGTGCTTCAAGAACTGCAGTAAAGAAAGGATTGCTGACTGAGTTTGGGATGGACCTTCACTAACATCGCCTGCCCATCCTTTGAGAGTTGCCTCGTCATTACGTCACTACGCCGTCATGAAAATGCAACCGATGGTCCCTGCACGCACGATCATGCATCGCTACGTGTCTGGAATAGAATAACGCTGCGATGGGAACGACTGAGCTTTCATGGCGTGGGGCTATCACATTTGACTTTTCCCGAGTCAGATAGGGATGTAGTCCGGCATCCGACAGATCAGTCTGATTTTCCTCGCATAACTTTTGGCTCATGGCAAGGTCAAATTTGGACTTCCGCGTCGCACTTGTCTCATACATCGTTTCTAGGCTTGGAAAACCTATACTCGTGATCGATAGTTTGTATACATGCATCTGGATCAATACATTTGCATATGGAACCGTGCGAAATGTAGCCGCAACGGGAAGCCTGTGACGGACGTGATACACGGCCGCCGCATTTCGCTTTGCGTATGTGTAACATGCTTTCCTTCTAACATGTCCGACATCCAGCACAACGACGCATTTGAATTTCCTTAACGCGTATGACTTACTTATTTTCATATTTGACTGGGAAAACCTTTACATCCGGTGTGCAAAATCTTCCGTCGAAACAGGATGTCCGAGAATTTACATGAATAAAATTACCTTTAAATTCAACGATAGAAGTACATAATAGGGGGAAAAAGTCGACATCAGAGATGCAAACAAAAGTTATCTGATTTCTTGGTTTGAAAAGTTAGATTTTCTCAAGTAAGGAAAAATTCAGCTGGATAAATGAAAGAAGGATGCCCAGAAGAATACGTTTCATTGGAATAAGTGAAGATGCTTGGCTTACATCGTTCTATCATGTTTTCCGCCCTTGAAACAATCCTCTGTAACCGATCCGGCAAGTCGACGTCGTGTTCTCGTCTTCCAGCTGCAAACGTGGTAGCAGCCATCAATCGCTGCCAGAACCTGAGGCAACTCCGCTTGCAAGGCAGCATCGGCGTCCCTGTAGCCAAAGGGATAGCGAAGGCATTGGAATCCAAACCCACTTTGGAAAGGGCCAAGTGGAAGGGGATGTTCAACGGCCGCCTGGAGCGAGAAATCCCGGTAGCATTGGTCAGTGCGTCCTCATCCGGGAAGCGTCCTCGTATTCGTCCGTCGGGAAGCATCATTTCGCGGTCATTTGTGGTTTGTTTGATAGACGCACTTGGTGGATGGTCTGCGGCTGGCAGATGCGCATCTGGTGGAGTTGGATCTGAGTGACAACGCCTTGGGTTCGATCGGAGCAGAAGGAATCAAAGTTCTTCTAGAAAGCCCAGTCTGTTTCTCTCTTCAGGAACTAAAACTGAGCAACAATGACCTCGGGATCGAGGGAGGCCAGGTCAGGAATCCTGTTTCCCTTGCACCGTTCCAATGCTAAGTCGACTGTACGATGTGAGTAAACTTTTCCATACGTTTCATCTTCTCATTGAATCGTTGCAGATTGTTGCAGCTGCTCTTTGGAACTGTCACGTCAAAAGCGTCGAAGCTGGGAGGCCTCTCTCCCTGAAGACTTTCTACGCCGGGAGGAATAGACTCGGGAATAGAGGTGCCATGACGTTCGCTGCTGTTTTCGTGGTATGCGTCTCTTTAAGAGGAAATCGTCACCTTCTTGAAAAATTGAAACGCGATCATCCTGAAATGATTTTTTTGCAGCAAATAAAAACCCTAGAGGAAGTGGTGATGCCACAGAATAGGATCTATCATCAAGGAGTGGCGGCTCTTGCCGAGGCATTTGAGATGAATCCAAATCTGCATACGATCAATATCAGCGACAACACGATCACTCCTAGAGCTGCCAGATTGCTGAAGGGAGCTCTTGCTAAATTACCAAAATTGAAAAGCCTGAATTTTGGTGATTGTCTTCTCGGGGACAAAGGAGCTGTGGAACTATTGGAAGGTCTTCAGGCTCCTCACCCTTACTTAGAAGTGAGTGCCACAGACGCTGTCTTCTCTTCATCGATATGTTTCATTGTTTTTGGTCTTTCCTGCCTCCGCACAACCGAAGAGCCTGTATCTTCCCCCCCCCCCCCCTCCAAAAAGAGGGTGCACTGAGAAGGGACTGTCGCATTCCGCTTCTCACACTACCTGTCCTCCTCCAAAAAATTAGCATGCATTTACAATAGAAAGCAACGCCTACCGCATGTCACGGGGCCTACGCTCTGCTGCGTTTCGCAGTCAGCAGAAATTCCTAAGTCTCCGACTTCCAGGTCACCGCGACCGACAGTAAAAGCGCGATAGAGCCTTGAATATGTACCGTAGTCACGTCTTCGGTGTGATTTCAGTTTAACTTTTCACACCTCATTTATTTTCCTAGTATCATATGTGACGATACACTCAAGGATGGCTTGCGGCTAAATTTGACTTTTACCCAACTTGTTTCTGTACATCATCGGTCTTGGGGTTCCTTTCTTTCTAGCTGTAGTATTCAAAAACCGGCATTCGCACTACGTCTGAATTTAAAGGCCTAATTAGGAATTAAAAAACGAAGGTTAATGTCCCCACGTTCACAAACGAACATGAACTGGAACTCAGCATAATTTGATGATTTTCTCATTGATTGGTAAGTTGATAAGTTCGCTTCATAAGCCTCAGATCAATACGTCGTATCGATCTGATGCTTATGAAGCGATATATCGTTTCAAGCTGGTCAGTCTCCAACTTCGAAGGCTAATTTCAAGCGTCAACGTTTGTTAATTCCCAATTGAACTGATGCTCGTTTGCGAATACCAACCAGTCTTAGCTATATCCTTAAGTTTCAAATATCATGCATAAAGCCAATTTGGAATGGAGTGATAATTGACCTTAGAATTTCTTCATTGTCTTTCGTGGGAAAGTGGAATTCCCATTTTCTGCTTATTTTTACTTTCTCTTGCAAATATGTGTTATCAATGAGATTATTTTACGCGTTCTTTTTTTTAAATAATAGGAAGTGATTCTGTCTGCCAATGAGATTTCTACCAGCGCTGCCCTCAAGATTATTTCAGCACTGGAAGGTTCAACGAACTTGAAAGTTTTGGACTTGAACGGAAATTTATTCGGGCAAGAGGGCATCGTGTCCATCCGAGAAAGGCTGCAGATGTTTGGACTTCAGGGAACACTGGGTCCTACTGAGTAAGTCCTACAGTTCGTTGCTTAACGCCAGGACGGCTGGAACCATCAAGCAATTCCCCCCCCCCCCCTCCCGCAGAGAGATTTTCGAGGCCAAAGGGGAGGACTTAATTGTTTGGCTGTTATATTTGCACAGCGAAGACAAAAGCGCGCCTGATAGGGACAGTGGTGAAGAATCTGACGATGAGGAATCAAAGGAATCAGATGAAGATTCGAGAAACACAGCCTCCACTCAACCCGCTTCAACGCAAATAACTGACAAAGCATGAATCTTGGCTCTCCTTTTCATGGTCCCATCCCTAGAAAAATAATTACAAAGGTCTCCTGCTATATATATTTTTCTAGTTGGTGAAGGAAGGCCTTCGTCTTTCATGCATGCAAATGAAGGGTCTTTTGGAGCAGCTCAAAATAACCAAACTCGAACCTTGCAGCAATACGACCCTCAACTTTGCAGGTCGAGAGCTTAAGCTCAAAAAGAAATACGACGGTGAGTAACCTCTTCTCCAGTTATAAGCATTGGAAATAAATTGTTGCAGTCATCGAAAATAAATGACTACATGGCTATTTTTCGAGAAACTTTTTTTCTAATTTTTATTTTCTTCTGATTATTCTGAAGCCAGTGAAGACCATTCAAACTTGGAATTATTGGAGCCGAAGGGGAATTCTGTCAGTGTCGAAACAGCCAAGGGAATTCGTCAGTCTTGGAGAAAACATCGAAGTCTTCAGAGAAGCAGATCGAGGTCCAAGGACATGTTTACTGGCATTCTCAAGCAGGAAATCCCAGACGCATTGGTGAGATCGAGTTTTCCTGTCATGCTTTAGGCTGTGCCTTTTATTCTCTTGAATCATCTATCATGTTGATCTTTTTTTTAATGCTCAGAGATTCGTTGGTGGGAGTCTTCCAGCTGCAGGAGCCCAGTTGATCGAGCTGGATCTGAGTGACAACGTTTTTGGACCCTCTGGAACGATAGGTCTGAAGATACTTCTTCAAAGTCCGCTATGCCATTCTCTTCAAACGCTTCGGCTCAACAATAACGAACTCGGGACTCAAGGAGCACAGGTAGGAAATTCCTATCAGACTTCAAGAACTATGAATTCAATTTTTTTTTTCGATTTTACCCAGTCAAAAATTTTTCAACGGGCCATCAGTGGCTTATAGTTGACTCATACATAAGCCATAGTTGGACCAACACTGGCGGATGGTTGGCTTACAGATGGCTTACAAATGACTAAAGCCGGCATATAGCCCAGCATGTCCAGTTCGCCCGTCATCAGGCCAACTGTGGTCCACTTTTAGAAATGTGCTCATGCCCCGAAAATAAGCCAATAATAAACCAATTTACAGGAAAACATGGAATGAATATATAAAAAAGAAAGATGGAATCACATCCAGCACACACTCCGGAGAGATTATGGCTATCCATCAATTGGCTCGCATTTCCACGTTTATAATAATAAATCTGTCTCATCTCTGGTTTTGTTTAAATGTTCTCGTTGGCTTTGCTCCTGCATGTGGCTGAGGTGCAAGTACTGCTCCAGTATGTGCCATCGTTCCTCTTTGTTGTTTTTTTTTTTTGGTGAGGTATTACTTCCTCTCCTGGTTATAAACTTTTGAAATAAAACCAATCAAGCATATACTTCCATGACCGTCTAGAACTTTCGAGTCCACGAAAGTTCTTCAATGTACTTCATCTTCATCTGTAACCAAATCTGTCTTCCCTCAAGAAGGCAGAAGCACTCAAAACTTAATGGCTTTCACTGTCTGGGTAGAGCATGGAGAAGATTGGGCCCAAGGAATTAAGAAGAAGTTAAGAAAAGAACTGTAGAATCCTCCTTCCGACCTCTGGGCCGGATTTGTCTGAAGTATTTCCAGGCTGGGTTACCTCTCAAGAGAAATGTATCCAAGAATTCTATTGCCTTCCCCTAAGATTTAAGCGGGAAACGATCGGGAGTCGTAAAAAAAGATATCGAGAACTCATTTCAGTAAGATCACTGAGTGATAAGCTAAAAGGACGACTTAGGCGCCATCTTGCCCCGGTTTGGAAGCTTTTTAAAGTAGCTGTCAGATGGCTTGCCTGCGTGCCTCGTATGGCTCAACTTCGGGGCTTCCGTATTCAGCCAGTTGTGCATATGCCACTGCTACTATTTGCCACAAAGGGATGAATGATGGGGGGAAAGTGATACTTGGCAGACCCACTCACTCGCCGAAGATGAGCCAACTTCCCCAACTATGGGCCGACCGTAGCCCAACGAAAATTCTTGACTGGGTATGGGGGCTGTGGTGGTTCTGCATCGGTCTTGATTTCGCAGATGGTTTCAGACGCCATTCTCAAGTCCCACGAGGACTGTTGTAAATTCGGGCAGCCATTGGCACTCAAGACCTTCATTTGTGGCAGAAATCGGCTGAAAAGTGGAGGCGCAGTGGCTCTGGCCAAAGTTTTCAAGGTGGGCCTTGGGTAAAAGTGTCACTCAAGCGAGGTCCCATCTGAATTTTTTACCTGGAAATTTTCGCGTCATTCTTTTCATTTCTTTTTTAGGTTTTGGGTTCTCTCAGAGAAGTGTCTTTGCCTCAGAACGAGATTGATCATGATGGTATTTATGCCTTGGCAGAGGCATTTTCCCAGAACCCCAATCTCAAGAGCCTCAATTTGAACGAAAACTCCATGACTCCTATGGGTGCCGGGGCCATGAAAAACGCATTGTGCATTCTGCGAAGTCTCCGTATCCTTGATCTAGGTGACTGCCAGCTGAAAACAGAGGGGACCAAGTTCATCGCCGAAGCCTTGGCCACGGGTCACGAGTGCCTAGAGGTCTGTATTATTCTGCACTTTTAAAATGTTGTAATGGTTTCATTGCACCATTTTAAAAGTGCACGTGCAAGAATGCCTGCACGCTTCATACTTCAGGAATTGTGTCTGGATCGCAACGACATGGATGCCGAGGGAGCTCTGGCCGTGTTGGAATCCTTGAAGATGAACCAGATGCTATCCAAACTGAATCTGGATGGAAATCACTTCGGGAAGCTAGGATGCGATGCCATCAGAGAGAAGCTCACTGCAATGGGGAAGATTCAGGCACTGCTTGATATCAAGTAGGCCTACAGTTTAACCAAATAATGGTTTATTTAATATTGCATAAAGGTGTAAATTACGGATGGCATCTTGCTATAGTTCAATATAGTACTTCTCGAGTTATGAATACTGTATGTCCCTATTAAAGGCGAACATCGCGTTGTCTTTCTTTTCTAGCCAGGACGAGAGTGGCGATGATGGAATCGAGTCGGTTCGCGTCGTTGAGCCAGAGCAGGTAGACGAATCTTCCTCTCTTCTCTCTTTTCCTGTCTCGCGTTTCGTGGTGGGATCATTCCGCCTCGTGTTTCAGGTCATAGCAGAGGCTTTCTTCTCTCAGCCCTCGGCCTGCAAGTTCGAGAGTCTCGGCGGCGACAAAGTCGGCATTCTCGGCAGGTACCTGGATCAACAGGTGAATCTCGCTGCATCCACTGTCTTTCAATAGTGAACTTTAGGTACAATATTTTTTCCGCCGAGAGATTGGAATGTAGGATGAATTTTTGCTCTTTCTCCATGTAGCCTAGAGTATTTTTTATTATTCGTCCCATGAAAGTGAACGGCAATATGCGTGGCAATGTTATCCATAGGGATTGCAGAAAAAAAAAAACAATTCCGCCTGAAATATGCTCATCCGGAATAAAATACGCTTGTATTCTAAGTAATGTTTGTCTCTTCTTTCCCTCCCTTTTTCTTTTATTATTCCATTATTCAAGGATAGATGAGGATTCACAAGGGAAGAATACGGCCATCTTAAGTCATTTTGTGTCACTGAACCAACGTCGCATTGACTCCGTACTTTACTGAGTTCTTTCCAGTGTTGCAGCCTACTCACAGTCAGTTTTGAGCCCTAATCTGTTAAGAATATAGAATAGATATAGAATAGATAGAATCTGAACATCAGAGTCAATCTTATTCAGATTCTGAAAGTAAAATACAGGGTTCTTATAAAGTTAGTTGGTTTATTGAAATATCCATAAGTTGAAAACTATGACAGGCAAAAATTGGTATATGTGCTAATGTGACAATGGGTAAGACGATTTCAGTGTTTAAAAAATATCTCACCAAGAAGTGCTGTGATTTAAATGTTGACGGTGGAAGTCCGGTATGCTAAGCAACTTGATTTGTGCTGCATTCACTGAAAATTTTCTTCTGCAATATGAAGTGCTACTTGTCTGGCTACTGCTACAACTTCTACAGGTGCTGTGGGGCAACCACTATGGCAACCACAACCAGTCCTGTTTTTTGTTTTTTTTATAAGCCTCCAATAAGCCTCATTGCTGCGTGGTCCAGCTCGTTCCCTGCTTTCATGCCGATATTATCACTGAAATTGAGGTGTAGTTATCATTATTGTCATGCTTGACGAGAGCAATCCTTATGCTCAGGGATAACCTGTTACAAGCCATTTCTGAAGGCAGAATGAATGCTGGTGAGTTTTTTCCTGTATTTATTTCTGTTCCTGTTTTTACCTGTATGTAAATTAGGCATAACAGTGCCCCCTAGTGGCATTTTAAAAAAATACTGGAATCACCTTTCCCGTTGTCGCATTAGCTTAACAGTAGTTATTTTAGCCGGCCTCTATAGTTTTCGACTTACGGACATTTCAATAGGCTAACTAACTTTATATAATCATGTATAAACTGCCCGTGGGATAAATGGGGGGTAGGGGGGTTAATGAGTCCCAGTGTGGCTCAAGAAACCCAATTTAAAAAAAAAACACGAAGGGAACACCTGGTGCAGTATCGATTTTTTTTAAATTCAGCTTTCGTTTGATATATTAATCAATTACGCGACTATCTTCCTCCTTGTTAAATTAGGGGACTTGAGCACTGTTGGATCTCTCATCTCCATCTCCTCTCTGGCTAGGAACAAGATTCCTCGAGACGATTTCTATGGTATTCTCCTCTCGAATGAATTGATACGTATCGTCGCAGGTCTGACGAAAGGGCGAATGAGCAAAATTTTTCAAGAGTTAAAAAATGTGCCTACTTTCCAGGTTGAAGAATGAAAACTACGAAACATCTTCGCACCAAACAGCTGAGAGTATGAACGCCCAGATGCAGAAGCCCGAAAGTATTAATACTATGTATGAAGACAGGTGTATCCTTGCTCTTATGAAAAGCAACAAAATGACAAATTCGTTCTTTCGTCAAACTTGCGACGATATATACTATTGTCCAAGCCTATGCAGGGCAAAGGGCGAAATGTCATGGAGAGACATTTCGCTTCGAGTTTCACAAACTCATTTTCAGAATTCCACCCTCAAGAAAAGAGACTGTCTTCTGAATTTAGACTTCCTCCTTGGGATTGTGACGATTCCCTGAGCAGAATTTAGCGGATATAAAATCCCTTTTGATTTTTTTGGGATGGTTTGGGTTGTCATAAGTGATTGACTTGAGTCTAAAGTAGGAAAACGCCGTTTTTCGAGGGTATTAGCAAAAAACTACGTGCACGGATTTTAAATATGGACTCGAATGCTGCCTAATACATAATAATCTCATCCACATGGTTTCCTATGTTATCAGAGACATGAGGTGGAGGACTGGGTGATCGTTCAGATCGAATTCCTCATCGGGATGAGTTCCCTCGCAAGCGAGCCCAGCATTAGGGACGAGGTCGTCCAATGCATCCAGCATCTTCTAGAGCAGATCATCAAGTCTCTCGGTCCAAATCATCTTCCCCAGTTCACGCATGCGGTGTTGGTCTTTGCCGGTCTCATAAAAGTGAGTCCCTGCCTTCCCGTCTCGTTCCTCTCCCGATGACGGACGTTCACGAAAGGTCTTTGCCGAACAGAGCGAAAACAAGAAAGTCTGAGCGAAACGGGGTCTGGAGGGTGTGGGGATTGCCATGGAGTTCCTCGTCGGGAAATCCTGTTTCCGTGGCGATACCCATCTCCTCTCTCTTGGAAGGTCAGATTTTACACACTGATATCATCATATTACCCCAAATTTCACGCTGTGCTGGCTTAAACGAAGAGAAGAGGAGAGCATGAATTCTATTCCAACCAATTCTGCCGAAACAAGTGGTTTTCTATTTTCAACCTGCATTCTGTTCCCAGTAAAACCCTGCCTTGGAAAGCTGGAACTGAAACTGGTACTGGAAAAGCTTCCAAAGCTACAAGCAAACCTCAATTTTCCTGGCATGCACGCACACCTGACTCCAACCAGCAGTTGAATAAACCTCATTTCAAACCAGCACGCCGAGAAATGGCGGTTGATATGGTGTCTTACTGGTCTCATGAAAACGGTTTCACTATGCTGCGCTCACAATTGCAGGTCTGCTCTACCTGGTGATAAAAAGAATTCATACGATGAGTTCTCACAAGTGAAACACTTGAGGGCCGTTCACAAATTACGTAACGTGATTTTTACAACTTTTTTTTTATCCCCCCCCCTCCCCCTGTAACACTCCGTAACAAAAGATTTGACCCCTCCCCAAAAAAAATATATATATATAATTTTATATATAATTTATTTTATAAATTATATATATGACAAAATATGACCTTCATAATTTATTTTAAATAATAAGGTTAATAAACAAGTAAAATGCATTTGAAAAAGAAACTCGTTTATTAAACACTCTGGATTACACACATTGAGAGATAATTAAAATGTTAAAAAAAAGGAAAGTAAAGGAAAAGTTTTTTCTTTCATTCGGTTCCTTCTTGAAGGAAATAGTTTTCCTTTGTCTATGTTCATTTTGATTGATGGTGATCACTCATTTGAGAGTTAAAAAAAAAAAGAGTAAAAAGAGACGGGGAAATGTAGGGTAGAATGGTGGAAATAGAGATTGCGATGCCGAGAATGAGACGAAAGAGGACAACCTCCAAAGGGTAACTGAGCCTGTTTGGCCTGTCTGGGCAGGTCTATGCATGAAACCGCGACTTAGCGAGTTTTGCAACAGGGGAGAGGGAAGTCAGCCGACGTTACCACGTTTCCAATGCCCACTCCACTGCTGGTGGGTTCGGGTGGGTAGTAGGGTTGGCTCTTTGTCGTGTGTGATTTGTTACTGAACAATTACCCTTACAATAATAAACTCCAGTCGCATAATTTATTTTTTTTATGAAAAAAAACTGTTTCGTTACATTCGTGCAACCCCCCCCCCCTCCCCCCGTAACAAGTCGTAACACTTCGTCTGATCCCCCTCCCCCCCTTTGCGTTACGTAATTTGTGAACTCTTTGCATACTGAAATGCCTGTTATACCATGAACCGATGAAGGATTTGTCGACTTGCCTCGATGAAGGTCTTCATCCAGGATGACTCCTTCCCTCAGTGATTGCAGCTACACTTGACCCTGTCTCCCCTGTTTCCAAAAGCCACGCGGCCGTCCTGCGAAGCCCCAACTGGCAGCTCCTCTGCGTAGATATTGTGAAGCGGTTTGCAGTTTCCTTCGCCTGTGCTCTGTTCAATGTGTAATGGTTCGTGAAATAAACTTTGACATTGTCATCGGTTTGGAATTTGCTTGGTGAAGAAAAATTTTATATCGCGAACTTTAAATTTTTTTGCGGAAACTTAAAAAAAAAATCGTCAGGTTCTGAGCCAAGGGTATGAAGGGATCATCATCAATAATAATCGATAATTGCCAACCGATTACCGACTTCATCGCTTCACGAGGTCCAGTCCACATATTCTAGAAGAGAGGGATACAGGTTCCGCTTTAAAACTTGACGCGATGGGCATACTTTTTTTTCGCATAGAACCTCTTGAGAGAAATGTCCAGTTTCCAAATTCCACTATTTCCAACTGTCCCCTTTTTTTCGCCTTCGTCCTCTCTCATGAGGAAAGATTTTTCCCAGGGGCGAAAATACAGGGAACATGCCTGGACTTTCGTTCAGCGCCATCGTCTCACCAACCAAAGAAACAAATCCCAAATCCCGTTCTTCACGTGTTTGGTATTTGTTTATTTATTTTGCAGGAATAAACCCGAGCTCCTTCGAAGAACTAACCCATAACAAAATAGAATTAGAATGGGAGACTGTCTCTGTATCTGCCTAGTGGCCCTAGTGAAAGAGGCTCTAAACACAAGTCTAGTGCATATGTTTCGAGTTATTTGGACAATTGCTCGTAGCACGCATTTTGCAAAGGTTTTGCCTTTTTGAAGCTGGCAGTCATTGTGGCTATTGTGTGAAATAAGTAATGTTAGTGCAAAATTTACGCAATAGGAAAGAAAGAACTGCTGATGGCACGCTTTGAGCATAAGCCACGTTTATTTCCCAGCCACCGTATTAGACTACTACACAATTCTAAATCTCGTAATTCGCGTATTATGCGACCCTTGCGTGAAAGATAAATCACGTTGACAGGTCAGATCATATTAATATTACAGTCTGGGCGCAGTGCATTTCCTATGCTTGGCTTTGCGGTCACAATTGCGATCGTCATGGAATTTTCTGCTGTCGGGAGTCACGTCCGTTCGGGCTGTACGGTCTGTGGCATCATTGTGTTATGACAAACACGAAATTTCTTCTGTGGAAAGCCCCGTGGCGTAATGGATAACGCGTCTGACTTCGGATCAGAAGATTCCAGGTTCGAGTCCTGGCTGGGTCGGATGTCCTTTTTTGCATTTCGTTTTTGCTCGATCAATACTTTAATGCGAATGAAATGAAGAATCCATAGGCTCTCATCGAATCCGCAAGAGGAATTCCCGATCACCCTCAACGGAAACGTGCTGCCGTCCTTTCCGGGTGTTTAGACTCTTCGCACCAAGTTCCATGGGTAGACAAATTACCAATAGTGAAATTCAGGTGTGAGTTTGGACAAGTTTCTCCAGCAATTTTATTGAAGTGAAGTTCCAAATTTAAAATCAATTTTATTGTATAATCAGCGGAAATCTCACGGTACCCCGTATGATTGTGATTTTCTGATTTTCTTTAACTCAGAATTAAATCATTTATGTCAAATCGAAATTTCAACATTATCCATATTTCTGTTGGGTTTGCTCAAATTTACCTCACCTTACCACAGAATTAACCAGGACTCGACTTTCCGTGTCCTCTTCCGGTAGAAATCGTGATATCCGAAAGGAAGAGTACTGTTAAACTGTACACGCAACAATCTGATGACACACGGAAGTCTGAGGGCGAGCCGCGTCCGATTGGCTTCGTTGGCTGGGTCTTCAAGGAAAAGAATTCTTCCTGAAACTGAAAATGCAAGAAGAATGGGCGAAATATGAAACCTTTTTTTTTACCGGTCTCATCATAACGTATGCTTCTTTCTGCGTCAATGCACATATTTTCTATATTTTCACCAGCGTTTTGAAGAATCCTGCATACCAGCATTTGGAAACCTACTTTCTCAGAGGTGCTACGGGTCCATGTACAGCTTACAAATCGTGAGCAAAATCTGGAGTTTAGATTGCAAAGGCTGTTTGCACTTCACATCTCCTGAGTGACACGCGCGTGACCCAGGGATGCAAATAACACGCATTCGAGCGTAAAGAAATACGCCTACACATACATACACCCACATACCTACATGCCCACACCCTATTTGGACGAACAGGTAACGAGAAAACGCAGCACTTAGGGTTAATTGGGTTCTGTCCAATCCCCTACGCCAACACTCGTTCATTTTTCACCGCACACCCATTACGCTTCCCCCCTCGTAACCGAACGTGTCCGACCTCGGACTCGCATCCGTCACCTTCCAATGCAAATGAAAAGCGCAAACGAGAACGCTTGGCAAGCAAACATGCGAAGTGTGACACGGCCTCCGATCTTGCGGCCTCCACAACGGCCGAGTAAACTCCTCGTGTAAACGAGACGTGTCCCGCTACGGAACCTGGGCACGTGCTGGGTCCGAGTCTATGTTGCACATAGATAAATATATATACCCGGTATATATATATTTTAGAAGCACCCCGGTGACAACGCCGAAGAACAAGACACGGATCGGTCGAGGCCTTCAGTACCGCGTATCGAAATTGGTCTGGCAGTTTTTATCCCAAGGCATCCTGTGGAATTTTGCTTTCTAAGTACTCTTTGGCGCGCTAATTCTGACCCCGAATCAAGACACAGATCCCAATTTTTCGAAAGAACCTTTTAGTACCGCTAGTACTGGCCCACTTGAAAAGCCTCACAATCGGATCGAGTCGTGCCCTCGCTCACAATTTCCCAATCGGTTCGATGGATTCTAATCAACTTCCCTTCGGAGCGAATTAAACAAAACTTGGTTCAGATGGAAGGCAGAGAGATGCGACGCACGAAGACGGTCCCGAGCCAGATGAAATGCAGGGTGGGGCCGATGAAAGAAATTGCGTTGTCCGTCGATCTTCACGGCATGGTTTCTCGATGATAACCCAAAATTGCGAATGCATTTTTCTGGATAAAATTTAATCGGCTTTCACCTGGTTACAGATTTATTATCCGTGCCTTCGCTTCCGTCTCGTTTTGTCCCCAGCTCTATTGATAGATTCGAGGGCTTCGGACCTTGGCGAAGGATTTTCGGCTTCAATTCTTGTAATTCCCATTCCATAAGACGGCGACTTTTCCCCAGACTTCTCCAGCGAGAACTGGCAAGTAGCATTCACGAGACATAAAAAAAACTCTCGATCACCTGAAACTTGCTTCTCTGATAGCTCTGAAAAGAGAACTTGTTCCTGATCGACTCTTGTCGGATTCTGATGCACGGAAACCCCGTATGAGAACAGCTGCAATTCGTGCACGATTCGTCGGCAGGACATTCTGGATGAGCAAGTTGCTAGTATTCAAGCATGCGAGACGATGTCGCTCATTTATTCAATGTTTAAGTCTGCCCAACA